CCCGGTGGGTCCCCAGGAGCCACCCCCCCCAGCCACGGGGACAGGCACACGCTCGAATCGCTGCTCAGTGCCCGTAACAGCTCAGACTGTCACACGGGGGAGACACAAGATGTTGGCGTGGCCCCGCTGCGCGTTCACCCCAACTGAGCCCGTCCCAGCCCCGGGCGCTGTGTTCTACAGGGAGCAGCTGAGGGAACTGGGGGTGTTGAGCCTGGAGAAAAGGAGGCTGAGGGGAGACCTTGTGGCTCTGTGCAAGTCCCTTGGAGGAGGGTGGAGAGAGGTGGGGGTGGGTCTGTTCAACCAAGGCCCAAGGGACAGGACAAGAGGAAATGGGCTCCAGTTGTGGCCAGGGCAGTTGAGATGGGATGTGAGGAAGAATTTCTTTGCTGAAAGGGTTCTGAGGCATTGGAAGGGGTTGCCCAGGGCAGTGGTGGAGTCCCCATCCCTGGAGGGATTGAAGAGTCGTGTAGACACAGTGCTGAGGGACATGGGTTAGTCGGGGACTGGTCAGTGTTGGGTTCATGGTTGGACTAGAGGAGCTTAAACGGCTTTTCCTCCAGCCAGTTCTGGGATCCTCTGGTTTGGGAGCAGCTGGTGCCAGCCAGAGCTCCAGGGTCTCGGGGGGTGAGGGGACAGGACACAACTGTCACCCAAAACCTCCCCAAACCCCGGTTTGATGTTCCAGTGAAGAGAGGAGGGGCAGAGGTGTGACATACCTGAGGCTGATCCTTGGGGAAGTGCAGGCCACCCAACTTCTGCACCCACACATAGGGGTGCCCCAGCTCTGTCACATAGTCACTCAAGGTCAGGATGCTGTGGGGACAACCAGGAAGGGTCACATCACCCCAGAGCACTCCCTGCTCCCTGCGAGGCAGTGGGTGCTTCTTCCTCCTGCACCCCAAGCCGTGCTGGTGAGCCCACCCAGTGCCACCCAGCAGGACACCAGCTGCCCAGCCACCGAGCCCTCCCTGACAAGCTGGGGAGGGACGTGCTATGCTGGGAGCGGGGCACTCACACCAACCACCCCAGCAAAGCTGCCCCAGCTGTGTGGGACAGACCCCACTCACCCGACTTTATCAAACTGGAACTGGTTGGCCGGGTTGGGTGTTTTCCTCCCGTGGTCTCCTGGATAGAGGCAGTTGAGGATGGAGTCTGGGGAGAGCAGGTCGCTGGCAGGAGGAGGGAAGAGATTAATCAGCAGCAGCCCCCCGTCTCAGCATCTCACTGGGGTGGCCACTGAGCCCAGAGAGGGAGATTATGAGCTCCATGAGTTGGGTTTCCAGACCAGAATGGCTTTCCCATAGTTACGCTCTGAAAGGAGATCTGTCTCCTCCCTGGCTGTGAAGAAAACAGACATCACAGGGCACCAGCTCCCTGGTTTCCCAGGAAGCTGCTCACTCCAACCCATTAACTCTGAAACCTACTGATGTGTAAGAAGAAAACATCACCAGCACAGGCAGGGCACGGCCTGATGGCTGTTTGCCACCCAGCAGAAGAGTTCTGCTTCATGAAATGAAGTTCTTCACGGCTGACCATACTCATGAGCCCCAACAGCACAAAGGGCTGTAAGCATTTGGGGTCTGGCTCAAGCCAGAGCCACACTGGTTTGGGGTAACACAGCCAAGGGCAGCTGTGGTGAGGGAACCCTGCAGAGGGACTCTCTCTGCTGTCATGGAGGGGTTTGGGTGCCTTCAGGGAAAAGAGAACCCTGAGAGGACCAGGAGACCTCACAGGGGACAGACTGGGAGGGAGCACTTGCTTCCAGATAGCCCAGACCAGCCTCTCCTGCCTCCCTCTTCCTCAGGCACCTCCTCCTGGTCTGGGGAGAGCCACTGGAGAGCTGGCAGCTGATCAGAGCTCCCCGGGCAGGCTCCCAGAGCTGCCATTTCAGCTGCTCCTCACACAAATCAGGCTCCAGTGGTCCCTGGGGAGCTGAGGGAGCTCAGAGGCAGCTGCAGCTCCAGCACTGGAGACAAGGTGACCCACAGAGCAAGCGGGTGAAGGGAGCTGCCAGGCACAGGCTGCAGGAGGGAGGAAAGCAGCTCAACTGCGAGAGGGTGATTGAATGTGACAAGCAGGAGAGGTTCTCCTCCAGCTCCTGAAAGGTTTGGCACCGCTCCCCCCTAAGAGGTTCCCAACCTCCTGGCTTGGCATGACAGAGGGAGAGGAGGATGCCTGGGCTGCAGCAGCCTGCAGGGCCCTGGAGCTCCAGGGAAGGATATCGCAGGGCAGGGGAGTGGGTCACCTTGAAAGGATGGAGATGGAGCTGTGCTCTTTGGGGTCTCCTCTGTCCATCACAGGACAGGCCAAGACAGCACTTTGAAACCACAGCTCTGCACAAAGGCTGTTAAGGTGCCCCAGGCAAGGCAGGATCAGGGAGGGAGGTTGAAACCTGACCTGGTGGGAGCAGGCAGCTGGGGGTGGAGTGTCCTGGCCCACGGGGCGCAGGAGATACAGAGGGACATTGCCACCACACGCTGCCCTGGGCACTACATCACTGTCACAAGGGGTCACTCTGCACGGAGCAGGGCAGGACACCAGGGCAGGGTGGGAAGCAGAGTGGTCGCTGCCCCATGAGCTCCGGGCTCAGTGTCCCCAGGGATCTCCTCACCCAGCACTGATGGCAGTTGTCATCTCAACAGCAGTGGTCACCTTGGCTTTCACCGTCATGATGTTGAGGTTCATCAGGTAGTAGAAGGTCAGGTGAAGCACGTTCTCATCTGCACCAACAGAGAAGGCACAAGGTTGGTGTCTGCTCTAGCTCACATGCTCTGCAGAGGGGGGTACACACATCCCCTGCTAGGACTGGGCAGCAGGGCAGAGAGGCAGCGTGGGGAGGAACCGGCCACTGATGCACCACAACCTCCAAGAGCATTCCACCAGCATTTGCCAGGCTGTGTCTGTCATGTCCAAGACCACCCACAAAAGAGAAAAGCTCCCAACTAGGTGGAGGAAGCTTCAGAGGAAGGTCACTCCACCCACATGCCCAAGAGGAGCTCCAGGACACAGACCTGACAAACCACTGTGTTCAGTCTCCCCTGGAAGGTCACAAGCTGTCCCCAGGGATCTCAAGCTGCTGCCAGGTTGCTCCCTGACCCACTGTCACACACCCTCGTGTGCTCTCCACCAAGGGCCACCAGACCCCGCTTACCTTTGCACTTCAGGTCAACTGTGACGGACAAGGGGTGTCGCTTGAGCATCTCCTTGCGCTTGTCGTCCAGCTGCACACCCAGGGTGGGTCTGCGCCGCTTCTGAGGAGGGTGGAGCAGAACTGTCAGACAGACCCTTCTCCTCCCACTCCTGGGCAACCCATGGCCACCCACCCTTCCCTCCCACTGCGCTTTCCTTCTAGTCTAGTTCCCCAGTCTCCCAGTGCTGAGGCCATGGAGCAGCTCTGGGGAGGGAGGGGAGCAGGAAAACCTTGCTCTGTTGAAGGGCGAGGACAAAGCAGCTCCAGTTCCTGTTGTTCCTTCAGATTCCAGCATTGTCCTCACCCCTCTGAGACAGGGCCAAGGACCTGCTGGCCTCAAAAGCTTCCCCAGTGCAAGGGGCAGAAGCTGAGGCCCTTCCCTTTCACCTTCCCCACAGGGACAGCCTGATACACCAGGCGCTGCTGGGGGGTGGTGGGGAGCAGTGGCACAGATCTCCCTCAGGCTTTGATGGCACCTACAGCCTCTCCCCACCATCCAGAAGATACAACCTGTAGGACCTAAACAGTGCCCTGAGGGAGTGCTGAACAACCCAGGGGACAGACACGTCCCTCCCCACTGGACAGACACCAGCCTCCCCAGCCCGAGGATATTTATACAAAGTGGAACAGCTCCAGCTGGAGAGCTGCTGGGTGGGGTGTGAGTGTGTGACACGAGGGAGGC